TCTTTGATTGCGAGTTTTAATGAAAATTTATACGGGCAAATTATCGAGTTGTCAAATGAGAGGAACAATCCAGGATAAAAGTTGCGTGACGCAATTTAAACGAAACTCTTTTCGTGCGTAATTGTCACGTAGCCGACCTGGCCGATAAGACGAGAAAGCTACACGGCAGGAAATGCTCAGCAGACAGTGTCCCCGCGGTGCGCTCGGGCTTAATACACCGTATAATCCTATTATGATACCGAAATGCTCCTATAATGTCTATCCGGAGATTAGGATCGACGCGAGTCATGAGAATCGGCGGCGTTCGCGATCATAAAACTCGGGATAGGCAGGCAGGCTTGCGACTCGTGCCGGATTTTAATTTATGTCGTGAGAACGGCGCGTTGCGAAAGTCTTTCTTCGGCGCGGCGATAACTTCGGACACGCCTGGCCTCTCCTCTCATCGCGCGTCGCTCTCGTACCGTTACTTTTTCCGCGATAAGTGCGCCGTCCGATTAGCGCGCTCATCATCGATGGGAACTTATGAACCGGAGAGACTATCGTCGAGTCCCACCGTAAAGTTACTTACATTAAGATTGCGCTGTCTACTAAATCTGGTTAATAATATTCGTATCACAAGTATATAATGTATACGATATAATAACTGTGTATATTATAACATAGGAAACGTATGAATATGTGAATAAAATAGGGATTATAAATTAAATGGAATAAAATATTCATCGCGTCAGAAATTAACAAAAGGTACATATGTGTGCGTGTGCGTGCGCGCGCGCGCGCGTGTTTAAATATAAAGTGACATAGAGAGAGAGAGAGGAGGGGGAGGGAGTCGTTATAACATTATATGAATGCACGACTCCAGGTATTCTCGCCCTATGTGAATATCTGCTTGGTCAATAGGGAGACCCAAGTATTGTGTTTGTACTATACACCTCAAATCTGAAAACTCACGGCTACCTTTCGCCGGCGCACACACACACATGCACGCGTGTTCAGATAAAATGACTCCGTCCCTTAGTTAACCGCAATATTCGGAAGGGAGCTCCATTGTCGTCTTCACGAAGGTACGAACCTTCGTACACGATCGCTCCACGCTCGAAATCAACGCGAGCAGAAATACGCTCGCGCGCTAATAAACGGATGTGTAAAGCAAATCGTATAAATTACGGCCCGTTTTTTTTTTATCTCGCGCAGCCGCCACGCCGTTACATGTACTCATCAGTCGGACAGGCCATTACATCTAGACAGCCGGGGTATATACGAAAGCAGCGCAACATGCAGGCCGTGCGCGGCGACACGACGTGCAGCGTGTTCCGAACACGTTGCACGCGAATTGCGCGCGTATCTCGATCTGCGGTTTTCACGTTGGGCCGTTTCACATTGTATCTGCCTCACGTGTCCACTCGCGACGTGTAACATTCGCAAGATACCTCGAAGATTAGCACGTAAATGTTCCGATTAACGGCACGTAAGTGATGCGCGCGCGGAATCGAAAATGCAAGGTCTTCGCGATAGGCTCGCGATAATAGAAAAACAAATTTCAATCGCAATTAATCAGCCGACCGTGTTATTTTACTCTTTCTCTCAATAATTAACATTAGTGACGCGCGAAATATCTTAAATATGGTTGAATGCAAATTTTTCATTGTTGTCCAAGGAGTAAACCGCTGAGGGCATTGTGATGTACAGATTTGCGGCATTACTAGGCATTACTAGGCATTACTAGGCATTGCTGGGCATTATCAGGCATTACTAGGCATTTTTTGGACATTAGTTTGGGCATTAGGCCTTGCTGGGGCAATATAAAGATAAAATATGATAAAATAGGAGATAAAGTAAGATAAAATGATGCCCACTGGGCATTAGTAGGTATTGGTGTACATCATTTTGGTCAGCGGTCAGGGTTTACTCGACGTTGTTGTCCGTTGAATGTGTTAAATATTCTTACGATACGAGAGATGCAACTCGCGCGCCTCTGTGTTTTTATTTAAATAGCGAGATATTTGACATTTTACAACTGACAATCTCGAGTTTATTACGTTTGTTTCGCGGAGTGCAAACTGTGGATGTTGCACGTGCGTTGATTATGAGACGTTTTATAAGCCGTGACATTAATTAACGATTGCGTGAATTCGCGTCTGGTATTGTTACTCAACGACACGAAGGGCCGAACCGAGGGAACTAAAAATCCAAGTCTCAGATCGTAAACGACGCAGCGTTTTCTCTTTCTCTCTCTCTCTCCCCTCCCCCCCTCTCTCTCTCTCTTCTTCTTCTTCTCGGGAGGCACGAAACGTAGGGGAAACGCTTCGATAAATTATTCATGTCCGCACGACCGGTCGTGCTGCGCCCGGGATACTTTTATATAAATTTTTATAGGTCGTACAAAAGCGAAGTGGTTACGTCTTCAGGAACGTAGCGCGATTTCCTCGTATCGATCGATCAACGTTTGTACATGATATATGCGAATTTCTATTAATAACAATTGGCGGAAAACAAAGCGAGAGTTTGTATATGTCTAACGCACAGTGTTATCCACGCCTGACGATATATACGGCTCCGTGTCTTTTCATAAATTATTAGATTTTTTTCATGTTTCCATAGTTCATAGATCTTTTAACGCTTCGAAGGATTTTAATACCAATCGGCCGTCGATGCATATTATTATAATTATGTATAGCCTCTGGGCTGGATGCGAATAAGCATATATTACGCCGTGGAAAACGGAGAATTGTAGCCTCTGCTTTTCCTTTAAAAATAGATATGAGAAATCGATAAAATCTATCGATACGTATCGGCAGGTATTTTCAAAGTGATTAGCTTTAACGATATAAATATTAGTCCCGATAAATACTGTATATTCGCCGAAATTTAATTATGATCAAATTAAATCTCGTCAAAACTGAATATTAACTGCGCACTGACCGAATCATTTTCAGAGCAAATTTCATTATAATGTAATAATTAGTAAATTTAATGGGTCGAGAAGCAAGTTAATAGCACGTATAATTGGACATTTCGCTACAGCTCTCAAGTATGTTAAATTCCATTACCCGAAAGTTTAATTGAGCCTCGTAGTGACATACGGCGGCTCTTATGAGTCACCTATCCTCTGCTACTAGATTTACTACAATGAAGAATTTATCTCAGGAACAATTCAACTTTCGTGACGCAACTCCTTATCCATACAACTCACGTAACACACTAGCGATAACGAGCGAGACACGGGGATCTTTAGAAAAAAAAAGTCACTATCGTAATATTGTTTATTCTTTCTCGATCTTCGAATAGGGCGAGCCCGTGCTCGCGAGGGATAGCACGAGCGTCCCTTCGTATACCGCGTGCCTCGTAAACGCCGCGCGCGAGACGTGAAGAGCGGCTCGACCGCAGCATCAAGTACGCCTTACTATGCGTCGAAATTATTACTATCGCGCTAATCACCGCATAGGGGAAGTATATGTATATGTCGCTTCGTCTCTCTCTCTCTTTCTCTCTCTTTCTCTCTCTCTCTCTTCGGACTCCTCTCCCCGTCTCGGGATTACGACCTCTGTCGCCGTCCGTGATTTGTACCGCTCCGGAGGCGACCAGTCTCCGTCTGAAGCGAAAGAGACGAGGGGACGGGAGACAGAGACAGAGGGAAAAGAAAAAAAGAGACATGGAACGGGCGACTCTAATACGCCGACATAAACAAAGTGACCTAAGGACGAAGAGAATCGGACTAACTGGATCGTTAAACGCCACAATCGTCGCTGTCATTTGATTTCTCTCTCTCTCTCTTTCTTCTCCTCGCGGAGTCGCGTACAGCGACGCGGACACCCGGTATACGGAATCTCCCGCGCGCGCGAGATGTGCGCGACGACGCGTCGAAGGATGTAAAAGCGCTAATGAAAGATACGACGCATGTAAAAACGGTCCACCCCTCGTGTCGAATGTTTACTCAAGAAACGGCGTTGACGAGGGAACACAAACGTCTTCGCGTTCGAGCGCGGCTACGCGACTGCAGCGAGGGCTCCTCTTCTTTCTCTCGTATCTCGACGTTCACGGTGCATCGAAGATAAATATATCGAACGCACAAAAGTATCGCGAGCGTAAATATTTCGAAGGGATTCGTGATGTCGCGATGAAGCTAAGCGCGACGTTGAACAACGCCCATTCTCCTATCGATGCACCTTAACTCCAAACTTGATTTAACTTTCTATCTTTTTCTAAGGCTTGGAAAAAGATGGAAAGTAAAGTAAACCGAGATTAAGGTTAAACGTAGAAGTGAACGTAGACTCGCGCCGAACAACGTTGACAAGAGCGCCAAGGCGTGATTTATGCGGTAAAACATTGATATTAAACTAGGCGACATTAATATTAAGATGTTAATACCAACTCTGTTATTAACACCCGCACTTGCGACAATATTCTCAAGGAATCGACGTGTCAATGAAAAGAAGAAAAAAATCAGTCGCTGGAGGAATTCCAATTACATCATAAACTTGTTTTACAATTTAGATCCGACTCATGAATAAAACTAGCGATTGGACCGCGCGCCAAGTGTAACACCTTATACCCGTAAAGAAAAAGGTGCCAATTACTGCAATAATCGCTCGACGTACTTAGCGCATGCCGTGCGACCTTACGGCGCGAACGAGAGAAAGAGCGCGGGACCTTCGAATCCCCCGTGATTTATTCGCGACGTGCGATCGTACAAAAATTCGCGCCGGCCCCGCTCCGTCAAAACAACCGGGCGAATCATGGCCGCCCGGGGGCTGCGCGCGAAATTGGAGCGCTCCGACACGCTCGTCGCGGATCGCACGTGCGCGACGACGGGGAGCGGACGTCTCACGCCGCGCCTCATTAATCTCAATCGAAATTGACGCTTCTTCCGCGAGAAGAAAAAAAAAGAACAAAGAAAGCCTGCGAGAGAGAGAGAGACGCGACGGCAATCAAGGGTCGGTCGCGCGCTGCGAGGCGAGATGACATTGCGAGGGGAAGGGGGAGAGGGTTACTTTACTCACCGGCGCCGAAACTGAGAGAGATCGGGTCGATCAGCAGTCCCGCGGCTCCATGGCACCCGCCGATTTCCCGTACTCGACGCACAACCGAGTGTCCTGTGTCGAGCCGCGTGGACGTTCGCGCCGCAGCATCAAGTCGCCGCAGCGAAACGCCGCGCGCGCGTCCGGTTACTCGCGGAGAAAAACACGCCGGACAATGTGCGCGCGGATCGATGGAATTTCCACGGGCGAACGAACGGAGAGACGCACTGACGGGGACGCCACGCGACGCGCCCGTGACTTTGTGTACGATCGCACGACGCGACACGCGAGAGACAAGCGAAAAGAATCGCCGTCGAGCGAAGCCTTGGCAGCTAAACGCCGACTGAGCGCGAGAGACCCCGTACGGAACTACGGACGCTGCTTTGGCATCGGCTCCACGCGACGGCCGCCTCTCCTCTCTCCGGCTCTCTCGCTCGCGCGCGCGGCGAGCGGTGGTGGAAGCCAGTTTGAAAGTACGCGCAGCCGCCGCTAAGTTGGCGCCAGTCGACGCGGCGGCACTCGTGATTGAGACGCTCGCGGAACGCCGTTCGCGGGAGTTGAACTCTCCCGGGACTCGGGAGAAAAGAGGAGCAATAAAGCACGCGGGAGCAACGTAATCCGGGGAACGTAACGGAACAGAGATGCGTTAGGTAAAAATTGAAACGTTCTCGTGCGTGCGGCTAGAAATGTGAAATTGAATTTTCCGCCCCCGGCACCGCGACTCCGGCGGTCGAAAACCCGTAATCGAGAAGAGAGAGAGAGATAATTGGAGGATGAAACAAAAGCAACATCGTTATGGTATTCGCGTTAGGCAGAATCTGTAGAAAAATGACTGGAGCGTATCGTATCTTTTATCTCCGATGTCTAAAGCTGGCGCCACACTGCGCGATTCGTCAATAGTGTGGAGGCAAAATTGGTCGATTCGCCATTCGCAGTGATTCGCCAACCGAGAGGTTTTTTAACGAAGATATCAATATATTTTGATGAAAATATATAAAATGGTTTTCTGGCTAATATTGAAACTTGACTAATTGTAGATTTATGATATACAAGTCCTGTGACAACAGGTAAAAGTTAACAATTGTCCAAGTTAACGCGAACGAAAAGACAAATAATTGCGAATAATAAACTGCGAAACACGAATAGCGCGGTAGCTAATAGCGAATGTCCAACAAATTTCTGCAAATCACAAATCCCGAATCGCGCACAGTGTGGCGCTGGTTTAAAACGGGCGCTGGAGAATACATGAAAATCAAAGGATGTACAGGAAACGTAATGAGAAAACTCACTGGCGAAGAAAAGATTCTCAGTAACGTACAGGAAAATAAAATCCGTGCGATTAATAGTATAAATAAAAGATAAAGAGCTGCTACGAAAGTATTATTTGCGAGTAAGACATCTCGAGAATAAACTCGCGTTGCGGGCTTAAATAAACTGCTTTCTCTGAGTCGCGATAAGAGATTTGTATACGGAAACTCACAGATATATCATAAATCCAATCTACATTACGCATTTATATGGAAAATATGTTAAAGGGCATACACTAATATCTCGTAACTGTTTCTCACTTTTGCGATTTCGCTAGAGGTCGGGGAAGCGGGAAGCGCCGCGAATTCGCACGTCCTTTATCAGCGAAAAAATCCTCGCCGCTCCAAGTTACATTTGCACCGCGGGAGATCCTCGCGCGCCTAATAATCGTAAACAATTTCTAATGTGTACATACGCGGGGCACCGTTAGAAACCCGCCGCGGGTACGGACGCGTACCTGAAGTGCGTGTACGCGCCGCAGAAGTAGCGTTCGTCGTCGAGGCAACGGAACGAAGAGAGACCCCTTGAAGCGGCAATTCAAGAGTACACCAGGCCGAGAGAACCAGCTCTCCCCGTCCTCTCTACGCGTGCTCTCGTAGTCGTCCGTATTAAGAGAGCCTCGGTTTATTAACGACACGCTGGGAATTGACATCTGCTCGTTACTTGGCCGCAGAGGTCCGCCGGCTTTGCCTCAATCACCGCGCCGGAATCGCGATTGCGCGATTTTCTCGCGCGATTATACGGGATACTCTTGCATATATAAAGATTTAGTTATCGCGACATACCATACATAATCGAGCGCTGAAGATAATGTAAGCAGCGGCGTATGGAACTTGGATAGAAAGAGAGACGCTCGACATTCGCTTTTCACTCCGGCGTGAAATATCGCGCTCGTTGCGAAATGGACTGTTATTAAATACTTTGTATTGTTTGGGCTACCGAAAGAGTAGGATAGCTATAGGAGTTCTAACTCACTTGTGGAGGGGGAAACCAGATGGACCTAACCGCTGGGGAGGGGGAAACCGGACGGACCTAACCGCTGGGGAGGGGGAAACCAGATGGACCTAACCGCTGGGGAGGGGGAAACCGGACGGACCTAACCGCT